TGTTAGGCTGATGGTCCTTCTTGAGCATGTGATCAGCTGGTTCTGGTTGTCAGCAGCAAACTGGTTGATCCACTCTGAGAAGGTGCTATTTAAGAGACTGAGCTGAATACAGCTCCTCAGACTGAGGAAGTCTCTCGGATGAGAGACGAAACGTTTCATTTTTTTTTTTTTTTTGAATGTCCAGAGGACCAGAATGAACTTTTTTGGATTTTTCTACCTGGATTATTGAGCATGCATCAGGAGGTTTAATCATATGCTTAAAGCCGGTGCATCAACAACATTCGGACGTAGATCCAGAGCTTTAAAAACTCCTACAGCTTCTCCAACATTTTTCAGTCAGGTCATCGGGACAGTTTCTTTTTTTGTGCTGAAACGTTTCGCCTTCGATCCAGAAGACTTTGTTGTTTTCAACCAGTTTGACAAGACTGTCAACAAGGAAGAGGGCCGGCAATGGAGGAGGGGCGTGACAAAGACACCATCTTAGCACCAACATAACTGGTTTGTTACACTTTGGAGTAAGCTGTTGGAGGAAGAATCAGTTTTGTTGTGTGTTTCCTTGACTGATGAAGCCTTCTGGATGGAAGGCGAAACGTTTCAGCACAAAAAAAGAAACTGTCCAGATGACCTGACTGAAAAATGTTGGATTGTATACCTGGATTATTGAGCATGGACTTTGTTCCTACAGCTTGTGTTATTGCTCCGGACCGATCTGAATTACCTGATAAGAGGTTGTTTAAATGCAGCCGTTATCGGTCTTTGCACCAAGCTACGCTCACATTCGGATGATGTCGTTTCAAGTGCGTTAACAAGTTCGACGTGTTGCTGCTGCAGATCCAATCTCCGTAAAACAACGTCGACACACATCTTTGGTTTGTTCACTTGTCTTTTAACAAAAACAACAAATGTTCCCAAACAGGAGACCGCAACAAGATGCTAGGCTGCTAATGCTACGCGTGTTGCAAGATAACAGCACCGTGCTGAAACACACTCAGGAATTTTATTTCCGGAGTGCATAATCTCTTGTTAATAAAATTTAATGAGTGAAAAAATAACCGAAACGGTACACACGTGGACCGAACCGAACATGTTGTACCGAAACAGTTCAATACACCCTCGTGTACCGTTACACCACTTATATATATATATATATATATATATATATATATATATATATTACTGTAGAGTTAATAATGTAATGGTAAATGGACTGTACTTATGTAGCTCCTTTCTGTCTGCAGTGTTTCCCCTACCATTATACAAGAGGGGTGCCCCACCCCGTCAACAGAACTGAGCACCCCACCTACCAAACCGAATTTGCCCCCCCACCCATCTGGCACTGACATAGCACTAAGCTAGCGGTGTGAAATACAAGCTCTCTAGCTAAAATGCTAAAGGCAGCGCTCACATCGTCTCTTCCCTCAAGCTGAACGCCCCCCACTCAAAAAGCGCTGCACTCAGACATGTGTCTGTCCCCCATCAACAAAAATCATGGATAAGATGAGCACCCCGCCATGGCAAGATAACGAGGGGAAACACTGGTCTGATCAAAGCTCTTTACAACAATCTGTGCCTCATTCACCCGTTCACACAGCTCTATACTAGATCTGTACAAAGATCATTGAACAGATCATTCTAAAGAGACTAATCAGAGCTTTATCACATTCAGACACTGATGGACACACATCAGAGGCTGTGAGGGGTTCAGTGTCTTGCCCAGGGACACTTCAGCATGTGACTGCTGGTGGATTTGAACCCCCAACTCTTGCATTGGAGGACGACTGCTCTAACCACTGAGCCACAGCCGCCTCATGTACATGGTAACTCTAAATTGTCCCTAGGTGTGAGTGAGAGAGTGAATGGTTGTTTGTCTCTATGTGTCCCTGTGATGGACTGGAGACCTGTCCAGGGTGTCCCCTGCCTCTTGCACAGTGATTGCTGGACATGGGCACCAGTGACCTGAAAAGGAAGAAGCGGGTAAAGATAATGGATGGATGGATTAATGTACATGTGTTTTTGAGCCACTTCAAAATCCAGCAACAGACAGCAAGCCTCTGCAGAACCATTATAAACAGTACAGGACATACTGGGGACTCCTGCAAGAAAGCTGTTCACCAGCTAGTCGCTGACCTTTAGTTGTTAAAGTATCTCCAGAACTGAGCCGCAATACCAAAAAGCCAAGCCGGTGTACTGCTGAGAAGAGCCTGGCTTTAGAAGACAAGGTGAGACCTGATTTAATTATCCTATAATCAACTCATTACTCGTTATAGAAGGTTTTAAACATTAAAAGATGTGTTTTAAACTAATACGTAGTTAATGATGCTGCCTCTATGTCCACGAGCTCAGCATTTATCAAGAAAAGCAATCAAGTGAAGCATGGCTCAACAAACTGAACTAATCTGATCCGAACAGTGTCTGACAGGATGGGTGAGCTTGTGACAGGATGGGTGAGCTTGTGACAGGATGGGTGAGCTTGTGACAGGATGGGTGAGCTTGTGACAGGATGGGTGAGCTTGTCTGTGCTGGCGGCAGCTGTCGGCTCACTAGCACACCAGAACGAGCACAATAAATCCGTGTTTATCTGTGTATTTCTAACATCAGATCAGTTAATTCAGAATCAAGAAGAATCGATGTGACGGTCAAAAACTGGATCCAGTCCTGCCTTCTGTCTCAGGCTGCTAACCAGACTGGGAACTACGGGAAGCCTCGAGAGTCAAACCGAGGTTAAAGCGGATAATGTCACGCACAAACGGCCTCCATGTTGGTAACGGGCTGTTAGCTACTTCACGACCGTTCAGCGCTGAGCTCGCTGTCTAATCCAAGGCAGCAGCGCCGAACACTCAGCTCCCTCGCGCGCATTTCTTACCTCTTCTTTTCTCCTGAACACCACCTCAGTCTCGCATCCCAGTTTACCCACTGCTAAACCATTCAAACAGCCCGTGGGACAGCCGCCGAGCTAACCACTACACCGGAGGGAGCGAGCTGTCAGTCCGCGTGACAGCGGATGCGCGCGCGGTACCCTCCCGCTGGTCCGCGAGCGCGTTCACGAACAGAGCATACGTCATCGCGCTACGTTTCTATCAGAGCCCTGTAAAGAGACACAAATCTGTTTTCATTGTGAAGGTTTCCCAAAGAACAAGATGTGAGGAAGAGGAGGAAGTATCTTTGAGGAGGATTCATCTGAGCAGTGAGGATTTTAAACTGGAGGATTTTGATCAAACTGGTCAGACTGTCCGACTGAGAGATGGTGTGGTACCATGGGTTCACCTTCAGAGAGTAGGAGCATCATTATAAGTTCATTAGAGTTCATGAAGTTACATATTTTATTGTGAGTCACCAGGTGAGACCCCTCCATGTGTTTCTATGAACAGGTAACTAGAGACTGTAAAGTTCATCTTCATGATGCTTTTTCATTTCAGCTTGAAAACTGCAGGACTACAGGAAGTGAACAAAAGCTGCAGCTGCTCTGTCTGTG